AGGGTGTTGGGGGCGGTTTGGGGTATTGGGGGCCGCTATGGGGGTGTTGGTGGTGTTATTAGGGGTTCTGGACTCCAAAAATATATACATAATAATAATAATAATAAAAATTACGGGGTGCAAATGACCCCCGACCGGTAGGTGCCGACCAGCCGATCGGTCGGCGGGTCGGCAGCCGACCAGTCAAGGGCCATCGATCGTCGGGGGGTCCAACACTGATTTAAATTTAAAAAAAAAAAAAGTCAAAAAAGGAAAATGCTTGAGTAAATAGCATGGCTACGATCCGGACGTCCGGGAACTACAGGACACGGGTCCGGTTCCATGTCCGGAAATGTCCGGGTCCGGGTCCGGCGTAGCCATGGTAAATAGCAACCTGCACGTCTGATGATGGGGGGAACAATGCTACCCCTCCATCTTCTCATAAACTGCTCAAAGAATACAGACATCAAGGAACCGTACAAGCTGCACAACGTCTAGGCATTCCCACAACCCATGTAGTTACCAGTGTGACACTCTGACGTGATGGAAACCGAGAGGCGTTTAAAAAGGTGAGGAGCAAGCAATACAGATAAAGATCGTAAGCACGTGCAAAAAGACAAAAAAAAAACTTGAACCTATGCCCTTTCCAAAATTATAATCAACCATAGAGCCACCATTGTTAACGAACAACGAGAGGAACCTCACTGAAAACATCTGCTTCAAAGAGTGGGTCCCAGAGGAGTCCATGATGATGAGGAAGAGGAGTAAAGGAGCAAGCTGAAGAGACAAGAGAGAGGGGTAGGAGGGGGAGGAGAAAGGGGAGCAGGAGGCGGGGGGGGGGGGGGGGATGCCCAACCTGAGGGACAGGCGGGTAGCCAAACAAAAGGATGCCGGGTTTTTTTGCGCTCTGAGGATTCCGAATCGTTTCTCTAAAAGATTGGAAGCAGGGGAGAAGAAGAAGCAGGAGGGGGAAACAAGGAGTAAGGAGGGAGTAGGTGGAGGAGAGGAGGAGGAGGAAGAAAAAGAGGAGGAAGAGGAGGGAGAGGAGGGAGAGGAGGGAGAGGAGGGAGAGTAGGAAGAGGAGCAAGAGGACAATAACAACAACAGCAGCCACAGTTACAGCAGCAGCAGCAAGAGCAACAACAAGGCCAAGAAGAAGAAGAAGAAATACTTTCCCATAAACAACAGTGAACATATACTACAAACTTGTAAACAAAAATTAAGAAGACATTTGGTGACTCAACTCTCTTTCGGATGAAGGCCAGCTGTCGGAGTGTTGGATATCAATTTAGGTTCAGTAAATCTGAGTAAATTGACAGGAAAATATAAAAAACACGCACAAAAAAAAAAAAAAAACACAGTAGCATACACATGTGACTTGAAGTGCGGCAGATCCGCATTACCAGGTAGTGTTTAGTTGTTGGGGGTTAGACAGGGTGATGAAGATGCAGAAGATGAGAGAGGAACTCTTGAATCTCTGGAGATTACTTTCCTTCAGTCACATACATTGCAGGTGTCCCTGAAGTGGAAAGAGGGAGATCGGTGCAGGTGATTCATTGGCAGGCAAGATGGTGAGAGTCTTACAGCGGGAGACGTCATTGATGACAGCGAAAACAGTCTATCCTCAGGCATAAACTTCCGAGGGCGTTTCGTGCTGTATATGAGGACATGACACACACCATCAACAAATGAGGACAAACAATTCACAGGGAAAACTGCCCGGCATTTTAATATACATGCCTTAATTCTTCACCTACATCACATTCTCTCTCTCTCTCTCTCTCTCTCTCTC